AGGTTTAATCTACTCTCCATTTAGCCAGAAATTTCAAATGGAAGGTTTCTATTTTAGGGATTTTTTTTTTTGGTAGTCATTCTTGTTTCATCCCCTTCGTTCTTTCCGTTCTATTTTTCTGCATTTGTGTTAGACAGGTGGGATTTTTCTGACTCTGTTCTCCATATGTTCAATTTTATTTTAAAATTTCCATTTCTTTGTCCTCTTCACTACGTACTGAAAGTATCTCTGGCTAAATCTTTCAGGTCATTAATTCACTTGTTAGCTGTATCCTTTTAAAAATTATGTCAGCAATGTATTTTCTGAGTTCTCTCATTAGTCAGTTCTTTAATCACTTCTCTTTCTTTGTAATTTAACAGACATAATATGTTCTTTCATCTCTTTAAAATATGAATTACCCATATTTTCAAACCATTTGCTCAATTAATTTTCCTCCTGTATGATCAATCATCTGTTGGTTGAATGGAATTTTTTAAACTTGCTTCCATTTTATTTTGCTTATTTATTTTCCTCCTGTGTGTTAATTCATCTGCTGGTTGAAATAAAATTATTTAAAAAAATTGCCTCCATTTTATTTTGCTTTATAGAAGTCCAGGGGCCTCTCCTGGCAATTCTTGGATGACTGGGCCAGTGGCTCAATTCAAGGACCCAAGACTGAGGTGCTGCTCAGATCCTCTGGTGCTGTGGGTTAACTGGGCCACACTGACAGGGCTAGGAACATCTGGGGCATATCTGGTGGAGCTCAGAAGACAATGTGATACCAAGGATTAAACAAGGCATGCCATTAATCCTATAGTATCACTCCGGTAATGTGTTACACATTTATATGTAAGCAAAGTTGTGGAAGAGAAAGAAATCTGAGAACAATCCCATTTATAACTGGGTCCAAAAATAGTACCTAGGAATCAATTTCACAAAGGTGGTGAAAGACTTGTATTTTGAAACTCTAAGTCACTATTAAAAGTAACAAAAGTCATAAGAAAATGAAGAAATGCTCCATGCTCACTGTCACTGTCCTCCCATTGTTCATCAATTTGCTCAACTGGGCCCAGTAACGTCTCCATTTTGAGACTTGTTACTGTGTTTGGCATATTGAATACGTCACGGGTAGCTTGCCAGGCTCTTCCAGAGGGGCGGAGGAATCAAATCAAAACTCGGCCGGGCTGGCTGCATGCAAGGCAAATGCCCTACTGCTGTGCTATTGCTCCAGTCATGCTTCATGCTCATGAACTGGAAAAATTAACATTGTTAAAATGATCATCAGGGGCTGGAGCAATAGCACAGTGGGTAGGGCATTTTTACCTTGCACACAGCCCACCCGGGTTCAATTCCCAGTGTAAGGTCCCTTGGGACCCGGAGGGAAACTCCAGAGCTAAACTCTGCTAATTAGTAACTCTTCCTTACCTGCCCCCTCCCTGGTAAAGCCTTGAGATGTAAATTCTGTCTCCATTTGTTGACTCTTCCTAATTGGGATGTAAATTCTGTCTCCATTTGTTGGCCCTTCCTTGCCTATTACCTCTGTTACCTCTGTTAGGAACTTTTCCCTTATTGCCTCCACCAGAATGCAGGAGCCATGAGCTGAGAATCAAAGGGAGCCAGGTAAACATAGAAGATAACCAAATGTCTGAGTTACCAGATACCCACTAGCCACAGTGCCTATGTAAGTAAATGCCGATCTTTGAATCTATAGGCTAAGGAGTGAGGTACTTTTAAATGGATTGGTTAAGAAAGTATATGTTGTTACAAATCTATTGGCCATGAAATGCGCGGGCTCTGCTGTAATGGCCAGTGAAGGCCTATATAAGATCCCCTTTGAAGAGGTTCGGGGTATTGCCTGATGGCTCAACCCTGGCTAGCCAGTCTTACAATAAACCTTGCTTGCTGTTTGCAGTCTCTTGAGTCTCTTTGTCGTTAAAGGGAGATCATGATCTACGTCCTAACACCAGCATCCCATATGGTCCCCTGAGCACCCCCAGGAGTAATTTCTGAGTGCAGAGCCAGAAGTAACCCCTGTGCATCTCCGGTGTGACCCAAAAAGCCCCCCCCCCAAAAAAAAGAATGATTGTCATACCCAAAGTATCATGCAGCTTCAGTGCAATTCCTATCAAAATTGCAATGACATTGTTCAAAGACATAAATACCACTAAAATTTTATAACACCATAAGATTCCTCAAATAGCCAAATAAATTCTAAGAAAAAAGAAACTGGGAGATATTCCATTCCTCGATTTAAGCTATACCGTATACAATAGTAATAAAATAGTGTGGTACTAAAATAAAATTAGATCTTTGGGTTGGAGTGATAGTACAGCTGGCCAGGCATTTGCCTTGCATGTAACTGACCCCAGTTAAATCCCTGGCATTTCAGATGGTCCCAATGAGCCTGCCAGGAGTGATCCCTGAATGCAGTACAAGGAGTAAGCCCTGAGGACTTCCAAGTGTACCAAACCAAAATAAATAATAAATAAGGCTTTTGGATCCATGGGATAGACTCTATAAACAACCAAGTTCATCCAGAAGGGGAAGCAAGGGTGAGCAGAGAATGATCACTAGGCTATTGGCATTTTGGCGGCAGGTGTGGAGTAGCAACACTGTTTGCCTAAGGCATCAATATTAATGCATCGTGTCTCAATAAAAACATTTTTATTAAAGGACCATGATTCGCAAAGTGATTGAGAGTTGATTTTCAAATATATAATGCTCTAGCATCAATCCCAACCACCAGCGTCAACTTCCCTCCACCTGTACCCACGTGTCTTCCCCTCACCCCCACTAGCCACCTTGACTGGAGATGCAAAACGTTCTTTTAAGTGAAAACATTTACAGCTTTCGTCATCGAAGACTTTAAGGAAGAAGAGAGGACCTAGACCTGTGAGCCCAATACAATGATCTGATTACCCACTTTACAGATGTAAATATGACCCAGGCTTGTATATTGTTTTACTTCTTTTTAAAAAATACTTCAAATGTTTAATTACTGTCAGTCACAGAATTGCAAAGTTGCTCATCAATAAGCCTCAGGCATATAATATTTTTTCAACCAGTGTCCACTTCCCTCCACCAATATCCCCAGTTTCCTTCCTAGGCCCCAGCCTGCCTCTGTGGCAAAAACTTTCCCCTCCAGCATGCCTGCTTCCTACTGAAGAACAGTTCTCCTGGTCTTCATTTATATTTGCCTTGGGGCAGTGTTGCTTTTATTTATTTATTTATTTATTATTTATTTATTTTAATGTATCACCATGAGGGCTGGAGCGATAGCACAGCGGGTAGGGCGTTCGCCTTACAAGCGGCCAACATGGCCGACCCGAGTTCGATTCCTCCGCCCCTCTCGGAGAGCCCGGCAAGCTACCGAGAGTATTCGATATGCCAGACACAGTAACAACAAAGTCTCCAATGGAGATGTTACTGGGCCCGCTCGAGCAAATCGACAATCAACGGGAGGGCCTTTACTTTACTTTACTTTTACCATGAGGTACAATTTAAGACTTGCAAACTTTCATCTTACATTTCAGTCATACAATGGTCGAGTACCCATCCCTCCACCAGTGCCCATTCTCCACCACCAATGTTCCCAGGATCCTTCCCCCTGCACACACACACTCCACCACCCACCTCAGCCCCCGTCTCTGTCTGTGGCAGGCACATTCCCTTTTACTCTCTCTCTCCTTTAGGATGTTGTGGTTTGCAATAGAGGTATTAGGTGGCCATCATGTTTGGTCTATAGTCTGCTTTTAGCACACATCTCCCATCCTGAACACTCATTTGTGGAATATAAAGTAACAGGATGGGAGCCTAACACCAAAGGATAGTAGAGATAAGGACCAGGAGGTCTGCTCCACGGCTTGGAAGCCGGCCTCACGTGCTGGGGGGAAAAGGCAGCTCAGATAGAGAAGGGACCACAAGTAAAGTCTTGCTTTTAAAGGCTGATTCTACAACGGTCCTGTGTTCTAAGATCCTATAGTCTGGGGGAGGTGGGAACATCAGCTCAGTGATACTGTGCTTGGACGCGGGGAACAGACTCTAGAGACCATGGTGAAGGTGGGAGTATCTTATACAAACGGACCCCGGGCCTTCTGGAAAGGGCCCAGAGAATGGTAGTGGCTCCCTACTCTCCTGGTTCTGTAGGCTCTAGAAGATGTAAGCTGGAATGGACTTTGAAAATGATCGGTCCTTGGGGCTGGAGCGATAGCACAGCGGGTGGCTCATTTGCCTTGCACACAGCCGACCTGGGTTCAATTCCCAGCACCCATATTGTTCCCTGAGCACCAACAGGAGTAATTCCTAACCGCACGAGCCAGGAGTAACCCCTATGCATCACTGGGTGTGACCCAAAAAGGGAAAAAAAAACGATAGAATCCCAGGCGAAGGTCAGTCATTCTCATTGGCCACTGTGGAGCAGGGCAGGGGTATTCTTACACTCCCACTGAAATGGGACCCCCTATTCCCGAGGGCTGGTAGCAGTGAGGGGCGGGGGAGAAGCAGGGAGGAGTGTGGACTCAATCAGGGGCAGGCACAGAGCCCCTCCCCGCCCCCCAACCCTCCAGCCTCCCTAGCTATTCCCCAGGCAAAGGCTGTCGAGAGGATTGAAGGCTCCTAACGGGCCTCACTGAGAAGGAAACTCTGAGCAGGTGATTTGACCCCAGAGGAAGGTCAGCGACTTGGGGCGAGCCCCCCACCCCTGGCCCCCTCTGTTTCATGAGGTCTTGCTCCCAGCCGCAAAGCAAGGGCGTGGCAGCAGGTTTAGCTTGTTAGAACCCGTTCCTCTTCCAAGTCAGATTGCTTTTAGGATCTGACTTGAGGCCCCCTGGTATCCTCTAGGCTTCCCACAGGCATGCCAGGGGCTGCTCTGTGGACAGTGCTCATGAGCAGCGGAACAGCTGCTGCCTAGTGCCTAGACAGGAAGGGGAGCTCAACCATCTTCCACCCACCCCGGTGCTATCGCACCCAGATCCCAGGGCCCCCGACTCAGGGCTGTGTCAAGCCTCTGTGCTCACACCCACCTGAAGAGCAGCAGCACTGCTTGGGGGAAGGTCTGAAAGTTGTTGTTCCGGTTGATCTCTGTGGTGTCATTCAGGGCGATTTTCCCAAACACCTAGTAGGGAGAGGTGAGAAGGTCAGTGCACTGTGTCCAAGGGGGTCCTGGCTGCTGCCTGCTGATGGACCCTAGATGGTCTCTTCAAAGAAGTGACGCTGGGGCCGGTTGGCCCCAAGCAGAACAGAACCACTAAGATGATCTAATCTGGCACCAAGGGGGTCTTCACCTCGTTCCGTATCCAGGCCTGAAGTCCAATGTCCACACCAGACAAGCATAAGAACAAAGTGCCTGGGGGACCCTAGGAGTGGTCCTTGTGGCCCAGGGGCTGAGGCTGAAAGCAGAAACCACCCAGCAAGATGAGGTCCCTCTTCTGTGCGGAGATACCAATCTCACTGCGTTGGCGGGGCTCAGTTTCTTGAGCACTTAAAAGATTGTATTGAAAAATGATTGACAAAATAATGATATATATTTAAAGTGTACAACACGCTGGTTTGCTCTACATATACACAGTGGGATGGTTACCAACATGAAAACAAGGAACACATCCGTCACCTTCCATCGTGAGCCTAATGAACTGTTTACGCTAATTAACTCTGTGTGGATGCTCAGGCCTGAGAGGAAGCCGAGGCTCTGGTTTCAAGTGTACGTCACCATGATATTAGCCACCAGTGTCAACTGTACGTAGGATCAACAGAACTCCTTCCACTCCTGTCCTCTTTGCCTTTTCAACATTATGTGCCTAAGAAGGGCTAGAATGATAGCACAGTGGGTAGGGCATTTGCCTTGCATGCGGTCGACCCGGGCGAGCCAGGTTCGATTCCTCTGCCCCTCTCAGAGAGCCCCGGCAAGCTACTGAGAGTATCCCACCCACATGGCAAAGCCTGGCAAGCTACCTGTGACACATCCGACATGCCAAACACAGTAACAAGTCTCACGATGGAGACGTTACTGGACCCGCTCGATTAAATCAATGAACAATGGGAGGACCTTGCTACAGTGCCTAAGATAGATCTTCTAATGTAAGCTCCTGGATTTTGGGAGTGACGTGGAATGCGTGGTCTGGGATTCCGGCAAGTCTACATCACCCTTGAAACCAAATCTCCTCCCCCTGACTCTACGTGCTCATCCCAGCAGCTGCCAGCCTAGATCAGACCACAAGTTGCTCCTTCCACTTCAAAAGGTTTTGGCCTAAGCACTTTTGCCCCTTTCTTCGATGAACAGGCAGGCGGGAGTCTTTCCAAAGGTGCTGTGGAGAAGAAGCTCCGAGGTATCTATAGTGCTGGGCCAGAGTGCTCTGACAGAGCCCCAGGGAATGGCTCGGCATTCTGGGGTTGGGTCAGAAGGTGAAGTGCATATCTGCGGGGCAGCACCCAGGCACTTGCTCATGTTCCTGGGAGAGCTCGCCCTGGCCTCCCTCTCAGCATCCCTGGAGGGGCATGGGCTTGGGAGTTGCACCAGCCTGTGAGCCCATCAGCGCGAAAACAGAAGGTGCTTCTCAGAAACAACTTCCAGCTGCTTCATGAAAAGGGATCCCCTCTCCTGGTGCAGAAATCAGAAGCACTGTTCCCTTTCCAGAGCTAAGGCCAGGCATGGGGGAGGGTAGGGAAAGATAAACTCGCTGAGCCCTAGCTCCTCTTCGTGACCATTCCCTCTAGGACCTGCAGGGGGTGCTCTAATGCCTGTGACTTCTCTAGCTCCCAAAAGGGGAGAAAACCAGGCAGAGAGGTCATGGGGACACATTGCACCCCCACCCCCCAGCAGGGGCAGCAGGGGTCAGGGATGTGAGCCAGGTGCAATGTCCTACCTGCATGCCAATCACAGCGTAGATGAAAAACAGCATCACGATCAGAAGAGCCACATAAGGCAGGGCCTGGAAGAAAGCAGAGATTACCCTGAGCCCTCAGGCAGACAGCCCAGACAGCCGGCTGCCACCTTGCCCGGTGGGTAGCCCCCTCCCCCCCCCGCAGAAGGTCTGGGCACCTGGGGACAGGTGTGGATGATGGCATCCGCCTCTTTTCCACTTGGAATCTGTCCCCTGAGACACAGGGTATGTATTAGGAAAAGTCTGTTGTTGCTGAATCGAGTGTGTGTGTGTGTGTGTGTGTGTGTGTGTGTGTGTGTGTTGGGGGAGTTAGCTTGGGAGGGGGGATACTACAGTAAATTTCACCAAGAACAAGCAAATTCTCTATGGCTATATCACATAAGCCAGGAGAAAGTCCTGTAGACTACACATCAGTTTCTTGGGAGGTGTGGAGTTCAGGCGGCTTATACCACGACTAGCTGCGGTTTTAAAAAATTATTTGAGCCTTCAAAATACGTGGCGCCACGTCTTCAGCGCAACGTACCCACATTTTATTCATTCAAAGAACTAAATGTCCAAGAACCCGGCTCAAGCGCAAAGCAAGGTCAAGGGGTCTGGAGGGCCACATCTGGCGGAGGAAATGCCGGCCAGGGGCCCTCTGACCACTAGATGGCACTGCATGATCACTTGGATGCTTCGAGTGCAGCATTACCATTACTGCGGCATAATCAAGTCCTTTTCTGGAGGACCCCACCATCCCCCACCACCACCACCACCGCCACCACCTGGAGTCCCTTTCCTTTTTCTGACGACCAAAATGGCAAGGAGTGGGGTTACTGAGTATTTGGGGAGCCTATGTCGTCATTTATCCTGTGGGCATCCTATGGGTGGATCATTTGGGAATTCTCCTAAGTAAGGACTAGACAGACCTCCAGTGGGCTGGGGTGGTCGAGAGCACTGCCCTCAGGGGATGAGGAAAGACAGGTCTAAGGGAAGCAGTCTAGACCTGGGCTGGCCAGGGCTGGGGGCACAGGGGTGTCTCCAGGGCAGTCGTGGTACCTTCTGCTTGGGACAAACCTGGACCACAGAACATAACTCATCGTCAAGGGCAGCCAAGCCCCTGATAGAGCTTGAGTCCCTGGAACTGAAGACTTTCCTGGCCTTCTCAGAATAGCCAGGGCAGGCTTAGGTAGGCTGTTTTCACAGAAGAAAACATAATTTGCCCTGGTGTTTGTGTTCTGTTGGGGGGTGACACTTGACAGTGCTCGGGGCTTACTCCTAGCTGTGTGCTCAGGGGTCACGCCTGGCAGGGCTTGGCAGACCATACATGGTGCTGGGGATGGAACGAGGGTCTGCTATGTGCGAGGCACGTGCCTCCCCCACTACACTATCTCTACAGCCCCATTCTTGGCGTAGGGCATTGTGGCGCCAGTCCAAGGAGGCTGTTTCTGCAAGAGATAGAAACTGCAGCCTCTGCTCCTATTTCCGGGGTCCTGGGGAGTTTGGCCATAGACAGATCCAGACAGCAGACACTGCTGAAATGCCTCCTGGGGGTCTGGATGCCAAATCTGCTGGAGTATGAATGACCCAGAGACTATTGTAGCATCAAGACTGGGCACTTCAAATTGGGCCCACCACAAATTTCTCTGTCCAGTCAATTCTCTCAGGGAAAAAACAACACAAATGAGAGGGAAAAGAACATAACAGAACCGTGGGTCTTAGTTCCCAAGCCTTCCCACCCTGGTTCATGGGGACTCTGGGGTCGCAGAAGGAGGTCTCTTGAGATTTGCAAGTCTCGGCCAGCCATCTCCTTTTCAGACTTGAGGAGACAACGGTGCAGAGGTGAACCATCCAAGGTCGCCTGGAGGTGGGTACCCAGGTGGAGCTGGACAGGGTTGTGGGTGGCCACAGTGGCTGACCGCTGGGCAGGCTTCTGCAGCCAACCTGCCCTGAACTGCCTCTGCCCGAGAGCCGTGCTGCTCGGAGCAGGGCTTGGCAATACACAGTGGGGAGGGGGCTACCTGGAAGGACTTGATGAAGGTCCACAGCAGTGTCCGGATGCCTTCCCCGCGGCTCAGCAGCTTGACCAGGCGCATGACCCGGAAGAGGCGAAAGAAGGTGATGGAGATGCGGGAGTTCTCCTCTGCGTTCTGGAATCCATCGGCAACAGGGGGTGGTCGTTAACACAGCCACAGAGAGGGGCGGGCAAGACGGGGCGAGCCCTGTTCTGAGCAACACCGCTCTCGGGGCGGAGGTGGTTCAGAGCGGGTTGGCTGCACTAGCTTCTCCCCGGAGAGCCGCCCCCCTCGGCCACAGGGGTCAACAGGAGTCACCCACCTTTCCCAGGAAGATGGTCTGACCTTTGGGTCCTGGCAGAGTTTGGCCCGGCTCCAAGCCTGTGACCGAATTCCCCTGTTCTTCCCACTCCCTGCCCACTGCCAGAGCCTACCCTACCACCATGGCTGAGTCATAGAAGGTTCCAGAAGGAACCCTGGGCACACTCCACTTGGTCACAGTGCCAGCCTCCTTGGAGCTGGGCGGCCGAGGGCTGACACCTGAGGCATCTGATTCTCCAAGGAGGTCTGTGCCAAAAGACAGAGTTCCCAAGCCCACATGGGGAATCCTAGGACTGAGAGCTTGTAAAACTGGGGGCTACCCGCTTAGAGCACCCCGTCCTGGGAGTCAAGGACTCCAACTAGTCTCCGGGGTCACCCTTATTTCCCACAGCACCCTACTCCCAGCAGAGAGGGAGGAGGGAGTGTTGCTTGGTGTGGGAGAGGGTTGGGTTTGCAATCCTCGCCTGCCCTGGGAATTCAGAAACTGGTGCTGGCGGGTTGCAGGTCTTCTGCGGGTCCTAAGGGAACCTTGGAACTTGGAAAGGGGTGGCAGGAAAGACTGCCCTCTCCTCTTCTGCATCCCGATCCCAGAGCATGGACTGACCTCCCTCGCACCTCACATCAACCCCCCTCCTTCCCACATTGGCGGGGAGGTGGGGGACCGAGGGGGGCTCTTGCCCTTTCCCCAGAGCTAGTGCAGCTCACCCAGCCCCGTCTGCACCCGGAGAGAATGGACCTTCGGACTTCCTGTTACAGCTCCTGTTACCTCCCTCTCTTTAAGAAAGGAGGGCTCTACTGGGGTTCTGTGGGGAACTCCCCACTTTTTAAATCACTTCACCTCTTTATTATTGATCATCATCATCATCATCGTACTGCTTTTTATCACACTTGGCAGTGCCTCAGGGATTACTCCTGGTTTTGTGCTCAGAGATCACTCCTGGTGGAGCTCAGGGGATCTTAGGCCATGCCTGGGATTGAGCTCTGCTAGCGGTAAGGCGTTTGCTTTGCAAGCAGCTGGCCCGGTTGAGTTGGGTTTGATTCCTCCACCCCTCTCAAAGAGCCCGGCAAGCTCCCGAGAGTATTGCGCCCGCACGGCAAAGCCTGGCAAGCTACCCGTGACGTATTTGATATGCCAAACACAGTAACAAGTCTCACGATAGAGACGTTACTGGGCCCTTTTGAGCAAATTGATGAACAACGGGAGGACAGTGCCACAGTGCTACAAACTGCATGCAAGGCAAGCAAGTTACCTGCTAGACTCTCTCTCCAGCCTGCACCTCTTCATTTTTAATCACTTCTAGATCAAAGTCTCCCTGACAAAATCCATGCCTTGGCTGTACCCCCCAAATGCCACTAGCACGAAAGCCCCAGAGGGTTGATTTCATCCACAGTCACTGAGGCGGTGCTGAGACTGTTCTGGGAGGGAGAGCCACTCAGAGCAGGGGCCTCTGCAGGGGGGAAGCAAAGCCACTCCCTGCCCTGGATACCTGAGCAGAGCCCCCTCTCTAAGGGTCTCTTCAGGTCTATAGATTCTTGGAACAGGGAAAGGCCCACCAATTCTTTTGGGACTTTTGGGGCCACAACTGGCAGTGACTTGGGGTTACTCCTGGCTCTGTACTCAGGGGTCTCTCCTGATGGGCTCAGGGAATTTTATGTGGTGCCAGGGGTTGCTCATGGTTCCCTTGGGCGGGGCTGACTTGAGAGTGCTCGCCCGCTTGGTGGGTGGCTGCAGGTGCTGGGCTGGGCCAGGGGTAGTTGCCTGCTGGCAATCCCGGGACCCTCCCCTGCCGGTGTATTTTGGAATATTTGATGCCCCTCATCTCTGCATTTCTATCACCTGTGTGTCTACTTGAAATTCTAGTTTTCTCTTCTTAAGAGGAGGCTGTGTGCTCTCCAAGGAGTCTGCAGGGTTTTATAACTCAGCTGTCAGTTCTACCTTGATCCGGGAAAGGGAGAAAAAAAGAACAAACTTCAGTGGAAATTTCAGCTGCCAGTGTCAGGAGCCAGAGAAGTGGGTGCCACAGGGGCGTTCAAAAACAAGAGAAAGTTAGTCCGGAGCCTGAATTCCATTCCAGGCTCTAAACTCTCCCCTGGCTTCCCTCCCTTCCTCCCCTCCTGGAGAACAGGCCTGTTTGCATCTTGGTGTACCACCTTAAGCAGAACCTCTGCTAGAGGGGCCCACATGGGCCGGGGGTGGGGGGGGGGTAGGGGGGGAGCTCAGTCTTGCCCTAAGGGCTCACCACCAGCTAGCTCTGAGTTCCTCAGGCTTGCCCAATTCAGGGGCTGCGCCCAGCTGGAAATGCAGCCATTTGGAGGTGGCTCTTCCAAGGAGACTTCTAGGTCATATTCAATGGCCAAATCCAAATTAAATCATTAAATCGCCATCACGCAGTCTGCATCAGAAATAGCCCGACAATGGAGGTGGTTTGTCTGCTGGTGGTTCTGCTTGAAGCCTACCCTTAGGTAGAGCCTGACTTAAATGAACTTTAGGGATCTGGAGAAATCCAGGGTTTACTTTGTGGAGGAGAGGCTAGAAACTCAACCATACACCCTGTAGAACTTCACTTAAGCCTTTCAACGTGTCCTTCAGTTCAGATCACAGGGAGCCTACTAGTTACTGTGATTGATGGCGAGTGGGTTGTGGTTCACCTTTCCACTCCAACCTAGGTCACCTCTTTCCTTTCTCCCAGGAGGCCTTTCCCATGGTTCTCATAGGAGTGGGACAAAAATGTCCCAGGTCGGATTTCAGTTAGAGACTTTAGCCAGTGGGATCCTCAGGATATTTAACAGGAAGTAGTCGTTGGGTCCAGTTCTCTCCTGGTGGATCATTAGACAAGATCACAGTGAATTACACCCTGCAGAAGAGCTCAGGGGAGTCAGAAGACACCATCACGCAAATAGCACTTCACAGCTCACACGGGTGAGCAGGCAGGCAAGGCGCATGACAGACACGTGACCACATGCATCTGGAGCGAGGCTGGGCCCCGGGAGAGACTCCGGGGGTCAGGGGTCAGATTGGGGGGTAACGTTAGAGGAGGTCACAGAAGCTGAGAGCATGGTCTGGAACTCGGTCTTACCATAAAGGGAGAGCATTGGGTATGTTCAGTTGGCTTTAAAGAAAGGCAGACAGAGATAAGCAGTAATGAGTCTCCAACGAAGACGCCTGGTACTCTAGGTCTTGGCTAACACAGGAGCAACACAGTGGCCGAAGAGGGCAAAAGGCACAAGTGAAAGAAATAAAAAGTGCAGCCCTGGCAGGTTTGGGGACACCGCTATGAGTGTGGCTCTGCGGAGTCGCCGGTCCCATCCATCAAGGACCCGGAAAGCATGCCCCTTCTGGTGACCAGTTCTGACCCTGAATTAAGTGACTAGCGCTCACTGGGCATGGACGGAGCTTTGCTTTTTGTTTGAAATCAACCCCCAAGCTAATCTTTGAAGGTTCACAGTTCATGGACCGGAGCTTCTCCTCAGCAGTGCCGGCTGAAGGACAGAGACCTCACTCCAAACCAGTGTCTATTCCGTCCACACTGTACATCTCAGCTAAAGAGCTGAAAGAGCAGGGACTCTAGAATTAAGGGGAAGATGGAGTGGTAATTATCATCCAGGAGGGTGGGAAGAGGCAGCTTTCAACCTCCGAACTTACCTCCACCATAGCAGGGCTTAGAAAACTTACCCCAACTTAAAAGGGGTGGCTTCAGGTCGGACACACGCTCCAAACTAGCTACTAGTCTCTAGGCATGGGGAAGTTGGGCTGGAGTCAGGAGTGTGGGATTGTTTATCAATGTGAAATTCCTGTAGGCAACTCAGTGTATTACATTAATGCCCGGAGAAGCTGTTCTCCTCGGTTTGAGTTCTGAGCTCACTTAAGGAAGGGAAGAAAACTGGTTGCAAGTAGTAGCTCATGTGATTGTCCTTGCAGCTGCTCTGGGACGAAGCCATGGCGCACAGAGCTCAGCCCTAACTGACCCTAACCTTCGGAGACTCTTTCTAGAACTTTCTAGCTGGTGATTTCGCTTTTACCCTCCACTTTCAGGTGAGTTGCTCTTGTGTTTCTGTTACGAAGGTAGAAGAAATCAAACAACTCATGGAATTCTCAAAGGATGGAAATGTGCACAACTCGACATTTGCTTGCAGACTAGAAATATTTCTTTGGTGAAAGGTTTCTCAGCAGCTTTCTTTTAGTCTCCATAGCAAAGTGGGAGCAAGTCTTTTGGGGAATGGTGGAGATAGGGAGATAGGGAGTGGGGAGTACGGGAAGATAAGGAAAGAGACTGCTCTCCATTCAGATGCAGAGCACACTCCAGATCCCAGTTTTGACTTCATAAAGAACACCAGCACTCAGTCAATAACGTGTCTGGGAGGCTGGGTCATTTTGGCTGACAATCTTAAAAACACACACACACACATACACACACACACACACGCATGCACACACACACGCACGCACACACACACAAAAAGCATTCAAGGGTGATCAAATGCTCGTGTTCCTGTGTTTGTGGATCAGGAGTTCTGTGTCTTTGTGTTGAGAGCTTGGGTGACCACAGTGAATCCTCACATCCTTGAGTTCTGGGCATCAGTAGTTCCCAGCATCCTTGCCCCAGTGTTGCTCAAATCAAAAACTGCCAAGCTGCCCCCCCCACCCACTCCTAACTCCCTGCGGCTAGGACTGGTTGGTGTTCCTCTGGGTTCATCTCATCTATTACAGGACAGGACTGCCTCCACTCAGAGAGCCTGCTAGGGTCGTCATCTAGAGAATAAACCTCCAGCCTCCAAGAAAACTAAGCTGCTTTACCTTGGAAACACTCAAAATACTTATTTGGGATCCATTACCCCCACTATTATTTGATAGTTTTTATATAATAGTTTTAAAATACCTTAACTGTATTCTTATTAAATATCCCATAATTCAATCAACCCTGTTATATCTGTAAGGGAGACTACAAGGACAGGAAGAGCTACCCGGGCAGAAGAGAGATCCAGGATAGGGCCCTCTGGAATTCCTGTGTGGGGTTCCCCAGTCTGGTTTATGGAAACTCTCCGAAGAGTCTTGCTTTGGGAGAATCTGTAGACCCATTGATTTTCTCTTGGAACTCGGGCGAGGCTATTCAAAGGGCACTCTGGACTTGCTGGACATGCTCCACCTCTGGCATTTACCTGTCCTCACGTGAGAAACTATATTTGTAAGATCCCTGTTGTCAAAAGCAGCTAGCTACTCACAATAAATGCAGACCACAACTGGAGAGATTTCCATGTCAAATAATAGGAAGACACAGGCTTTGCCCTCAGAGAACCCAGTGCTGATACACTGCCAACCTCTGAAGGACATTTCTTAGACGACCCTTCATGGTAGGTTCGCTTTGGTTTCCAGTTGCCTGGCTGCAATTGAGATCTCCCGGTACATCCACTAGGAAGATGGAGCCAGACAAGTTTCACCTTTGCCAAAGTCACAGTTTTTGTGCTTTAGTGAAGAAAAAAACATATCTTGATGAGCTTCCCTACTATTCCACCACCTAGTCCTGTGTTATGAGAAACCATAACGTCTACTTTTTTTCAGAGGGTGGGGCAACCAGTGATGAGTGATGCTCAGGGATTACTCCTGGCTCTACACTCATGAATCACTCCTGGTGGAGTTCAGGGAACCATAGTGGTTGCCTAGGATTGAACCCGGGTCAGCTGCATGAAAGGCAAGCACCCTACTCACAGTCCTATTGTTTCAACCCCTGCTTCTACTTTTTGAACTAAATTCGGAATGAGTCAGTTATCTGAGTATTTGTGCCACTAACCATCAGTTCTTCGGTCCCTGGAGTAACTTGATAGTTTATCTGTGAAAGGAGGGAATGGACAGACTCCCAAGCTTGGAGACCCGTCCCATACATTCTTCATAGGAAGCCACAGGGCAGCTGAGCTACCTGCCTTTAATATTCTGGCTGAGTTTTTAAAAGCTACTGTTTCCACTAATGGAAGACATGGGGAAAAGTTTGGAGCAGTCAATTCTTTCATCTTTGTTTTCTAATGATCTGGTAATTTTCGAGAGTTTGAAGATATTGGGGTAATTAACTTAATTTGCTCATGCAATTGGTATAAATGAAATGAGGTCATTACTCCATCTGTGAAGCAGAGGTGAGGATTTTCAGAGTCCCTGGCTAGTGTTCCAGCTAACGGTCTAAGGGCAAATAGAACGGAAAACCAATTACCTTACTTCAATATACTTATGCAGATTACCTTGGTTTGGTATGACTGGGAACGCTGGTAGGAGTGACATGGGGCAGCTAATAAGAGACGTTCTCTAGGTAACTGTCTGAATTAGGTTTTGAGTTCAATTAGAAGTGGCATAGTGGTGATGAAGTCTTTGTTTCTGGAATATACTTGCTTGTGTCTTCTTTTTGCAGTGTTGTCTCTCAACCATATTTAGGGTCCTGAGAGATGAAACACAGTGTGGGCCAGGAGGAAAAAGAGAGAGGTTTCTCCTAGGTGAAGGGGATTTTCCCAAGAGGATAGAAGTGAAAACTAAGGTAGCATTTCCCTGTGTTGTGTTGTGAACATGGTACTATTTCCCAGGAAAATGAAACATGGCTGGAAAATAGCTTTTAATTACATTTAAAAAGGAATATTTTTTTAAAAAATATTTATTGTTTTCCCTTTGTAGCATAGCTAAGGGGCAAGGGGGACTGGGAACTTACATCGGCAGTAGGGCTAGCTAGGTAGGCTAAAACTCCCAACCACAGCCTTCCTAGAGTCACAGGTAGGTAGAGAGCATCTGGAAGAGTTAGAAATCACAGCTCCTGCCCTGGGCATTGAAGAGTGCAGAGTGACCATCAAAGCAGGGTTTTCAAACTCCACATCCTCTCAAACAGGAGTCAAAGGCAGTGGCGGGAGAGGAGGGCCATTACTGATGATGACATTTTTCAATCTCTTCCCTAGAACTCAGGAATATATCTGAGGTCAATCAATTCCACCGCAGACCAAATGAAGGTCTGGGTGCAGGTGGCAATTCCTTTCCTTCCTGCCGCCCTGTCCTCCCACAACTTTGCTTCTCTGCTTTGACTATCTTTCCATTTCAGTCTGATCTGAAAGTCTGACTGAAAGATGCCAAGGTCTGGCAGAAGAGGAAGCACCCAGGCTGGTTGGTGTTACCATCGCCAATGTCGAGTGACAGTCTCAGGTTGGCACACAGAGAGAAAAGTGGGACGGGCAAGAGTCAGGGGTATCTAGACATGTTGAACAGTGCCTGCGTGACCAGGAGCCGTCAAGGAAACTTGGCGGAGCCTCTCACTGTCCTCTTACCTCTTTTTCCAGCCAGGAGAAATCTCAGGAAGTTAAGTGGGGCCCTTGTTGGGGAGGAGGGCGTCAGGAGATTGTGAACCTCTGAGCCAGCAGAGATGGCAGGAAGCAAAGGAATTTTAAGGAGGCCAAAGTAATATATGCTCTAAGCTGTTTTACATCTTCTAAGTTGAAAGTAGATCTGAGTTGCTAAGGGAGCGGGAACGCTTAGGAAAGCGCAAGTCAGCTGGGGTGATATAAAACCAAAGCCCAGAGTGGCTGTCAATGGTTTGCAGATTTTAAGGCAAAATTAAGGAAACATGAATTGCTGGAAGCAATTCATAGACAGAATTTCCATTTTGGGTCTGTGTGTCTGGAGAGATAGAAATGGGTCTGTGGAGGAGGCTTGCTAAGAAAATGAGCCGGAGTCAATCACTGGGTAGAAAAGGGCAACAATTGCATGGAGGTAAAGCCCAAAGATGAGGGGGTAAGGGGGACCTCCTCTCGCTGTACGCCATGTTGAAAACCTATTGGCTCACATCTTTTTGTTTCCCCAAGGTGAAATTTTATCTAGAAGGGTTCTTCGCTAGTCTTTGAGGATATCAGTGACCAGTGAAAGGGCCCCTTCAGAACTTGAGGATCTTTGGCCCCAAGCAATGGTCAGAGCTTCAGGGGATCGATGGTGGTTCCTGGGTCACCCTTCTTTGTGTGGTGACTGCAGAGGGTGGCAGTTGGGACCAGCCTGTACTATGGGCTGCACGAGCACTAGCTCACAGAAGCAGCCCAAACCACTGGAGTCACAGTGTTATTCAACTGCAGTCTGGTGACTCCCCAGTTTTCCTGCAGA